TTTTCCGGAGCGTGAGTCAGAGATATCTACGTTTCGTTAGGCCACGAAAGTTCAGCCGTGTGGCGTAATTAGCCGGTCTATTTATCGGGCGGTTTTCGAAAGGAAACCGTAGGTAGCACGATCCAACAACTGTGCAAGGTTTTGACGATGAAAAGACGCTTTGCGGCGACTTTGATGTGGTGTCCGTTTGCATAACGCGAGGCGCGAGAGGGGGGCGTAATAACGGTAGCATTTTCTCGATTGTGTCATCTCTCTTCTGAAACGTCGCGTATATTCTCCCGTGGATTGGGTCCCCTTGTTTCCTTAGACCACACCGACGACATTACAATCCGGGACGTGGAGTGGCCGAATGTCAAAGAAAACGCGTTCACCTAAAATACACAGATATATTTGCTCTGAGAAAATGTAATTTAATCTCAGAGTTTAAAAAACGAATTAAAAGAAACGTTTTGATCAAAAAATCAAAGCCAACGCGAAGTTGAAAAATGATTATATATTTCAAACACTTATTATTATATTATCCTTCGAATCTATCATTGAATTCGCTATTAATTTATATATCGCGATAAAATTCATATATCCTAATCCTATAATTCTAAAGTATCCGATAAATAAAGGCAAGTGGAACAGGGGCCGTGGGTCTCGGCGAAGCGCGCATCGGGACCACTGGGCCGCAGGAAGAGCTCGTTTTCAGGACAAACGAACCAGAAACGATTAATAATATAGCGTGCGTACGGGCAGAAAAAGCGAAAGTGCACATCGCGTACGCACGTTGCCTGTGTCTCTTTAAAGACTGATCATTAACTTCGAAGGACGAAATTTCTTATCGGGTTACGCAGGAAATCGTAGGTGTTTCAGGGCGCGTATACCAAGTCCCGCTTTTTAAATGTATACGTACGATTCGATATCTAGGAACGAGGTCTTAAATCGCGCGGGTTTCGTAAGAGATACTTTACCATAGGTCTTTCAGATATTTTCCATTCGAAATACATTGGAATGTAATGGATTGGAACACGGAGAGGTGTTTTTCGAGTGTTTGTCGAGCGCGTTGGAGAATCGGAAAAGAAATAAAAGGGGGCCGACACGGAAAGGCAACAGTGTCGGAATCGTGAAATTGCACCATTTGGGCAATTAGCGCGAGCACAGTAGGCCGCACGCGCCCACACCGACTCACTTCCCGCTGCACAACATGAATGAGACAACGAGAACGCATTATTACAACCGTCTAACAACTTTGCCGTACTCATTATGAGCGGCACAATGCACGTTGCAGTAGCGATAGATCTCACAACCAATCTTTGACCTCTGAATTTGCATTTAAAGAGCATTCTAGATTTTGTTCCCCTTTGTAATCCTCAGCTGAAGCTTGATTCCTTTATGTCGACGTAATTAACGCGAATAAAAAAAATTATCATACCGTTGATTTATCATTATTAATAACGAAAACGTATTCCTTCTGTGTTTCAGTCCTTTTTCGGGAGATCCTACAATAATCTGAGCAGTATCTCCGAATGTAAGAATGGCGGGGAGTGCGTCATCAATAAAAAGAATCGAACAGCTTGCAAGGCCTGTCGTCTAAGGAAATGCCTGCTCGTGGGCATGTCGAAATCAGGTTCGCGATACGGACGTAGATCGAACTGGTTCAAAATTCACTGTCTGCTGCAGGAACAGCAACAGCAGCAGCAACAACACTATCAACAGACCCTATCTAACCAACCACTTACGCCACAACGAAAACCAATGAGCCCGCCTATCGGACTCCACCCAGGCCAACGAAAGGACGACGTGCTGATGCTAGGCCTGGACGACTACAAGAACTCCACTTCCCCTAGCATTAGCTCCCCCGAATCGCACAACAGCGACAGTTCTGTGGAAATATCCGAAAGAAGAGCAGCCTTCTCGGGGCATCCAGGCTTCAGACCCCTGCATTCGCAGTTGCAACCCTCGGTCGCCGATCTTTCGGCGCTCAGCAAAGAAATGATGAGTTTACCTCTCGGTTTTCACCTCGGTGGGATGTCCTTGATTCCACCCGCCTTCCTACCACCGCCAAGTCTCACCATGTTCTCACCCTATCATTTATACGCCACGTCCCACGGGGCTTCCCATCCCTTGGTACCCAATCATTCTTCCAATCTACTTCGACACTCGCCCGTGATCGAGGATACGAGCAGTACGATCAGTACCGCAACCACCACCACTACCACGACGATAAGTATCGATAGCAAAGACTCGTGTGGAAATAATAATAATAACAATAATAATAATAACGATAGATATGCGCATAACAATAATGTGCAAACGAGGCAGAGTTCGAATGAAGAGATCGGAGAAACCTACACCAAACGATTCTATTTGGATGCGGTGTTAAAAAGTCAGAGAACACAGGAAGGTTCTACAACGGCGTCTACGAAGGAACATTCCGAAAACGATTCACCAATATGTAGCCCGGGATTGGAAACGGATTGTCCACCTCCGCAGGATAATCCCATAGATCTGTCCATAAAGTCGGCCCCCACTTCCGTCACCGAGGAAACGGAAGAGGACGAAATCGACATGGAGAACGTGAGCGATCGGGACAGTCCTCCTCTGAAAAGGAAGTCGGTGCCTATAGATCTAACAACGAGATCCTAGAGAAGGCAAGACACTCTCGTTCTACGAAACATCGTTTATCCGCTCAGAAAACAAACGGAATAAGTGGATTTCGAGCGTAAGGAAAAGTAGTTAATCGATATGCCGGATTGCCAAATACGGCTGGTGAGAAAGGGACTCGTGATATCGTAATCAATTACATTCCCCTTTCTCCCCCCTCCCCCTTCCGGATCATGTCAATCAGGAAGACTCAGTGGGTTCGAATAATCGAGCAAAATTCCCAGAATCGTACATTATTTTTAATTGCGTTCTCAGAGCAAGAATTACCGGATAGCTTTTGATAGAACTCGCGGAGACAAATCATTCGCGCCGAATAGTTAAACGCAATTCGCGCCAGCCTCGTAATTCCCGGCATAAATATCCGTGCCAGTTGGAAGAATGAAGGATTAACGTCTCAATTCCGGGTAATCACGGCGAGGATCGCGAGTCGCCGATCGATGGCTTGTTGCGCAAAAGCCAATCGACTTTAACGAGAGTCCTCCGCTTTAATTAACGAGCGCGCGCGCTCGTGCGGTAATCACGTAAGACGGAACGAGACGGAGATAGGGTGAGATGGTGCGGTGAGGAGAGAGATAAAGGGAGGCCAGACAACCGGCGTCTGACGCGTTTGCAGAAGCGGGAGAGCGACCACGGTGCAACCGTGGTGCATCGGTTGATAAACACGTCAAACTGCAGGGTGCACGTGTTCGGAACGTGCGTTACAAACCGGTGTACACGTGTAGAACGTTGCCAACCGCTTTATCTTACAAGCGTTCGACGCCTGCCAATGTAAACGCCTCCGTCGCTGCAGCTTTGCCACTTCTTCTCTCTGCTTTTGTCCCACGTCTATTTATTACATCCTTGCGGTTGAGGAATTTTCAATGATGATACGAAGATGGTAATCACAGGAGAGCCGGATGTACTCGCCGGATGTCCATGACGAATCCAATGGATGTAGCTTGGAGAGGGAGAGAATTTCGGTAAAATTCTCGCGCTTCTTTTCCTTTCCGAGCATCCTGTTCTCGTTGAAATTGTGTGGACGATACTTTTCCAATCTTCGTTGGCCAATCCTCCAGATTCCTCGAACACAGATTTGCTTTTATTAAGATATTAAGTCATGTGCGATCCGAATCGCTTAAAAAAGATGCTTTTTAATTCCGCGGGATGCTCGATCGTGTATGATCGATCCTTGAGAGATCCGGGAATTTTCCGGATGCAAGCAAGATATGACGATTTCGAGACAATAAAGAATACTATGTATTTAATCGTCTTCAACCGTTCTTCAACCTTATAATTGTTTATATAAGGTATGATGTGTAAATATCAAGCAGGAACGAAGGTATTTTTTTCGCGTTTCTATTAATCGTGATATTAAATTTTTACAGCGCAACGAAAAGTGTTAATGGTATCTCGATACTTTTCGTTATGAAAGTAGTCAATAAATGGCCAGTACTTGTTTAATGAAATTGTTGATTATATTATCGATATCGAATACGTGCAATCGTAAATGAATTTTATTTAATTGATATCTATGTTCGTACACGGACATGCTGTAATTCCATTTACCCAAGTATAACAAATAAGACGAGGACGAAAATGTAAATAATAGCTAGGCAAGATTTGTGTGAATGGGACCAGGGCCAGTACTTACTTGTATATAGCTAATAGATAATAAACTAATGAATTACAATGCTCGAAATAATTAGAAAATGTGATCAAATATTAGGAATAAAAAACATTATGCATATGTTGAAAATTACAAAATTGGTTACCAGATATATCAATAAGTAATTCCCTAATTAATTTGAGCAATGTATTTAATGAATTTAAACAATTATGTAAATCATTTTTCCTTAAGAATGAATTCATGAATTTATCAATGAAATATATATATCAATATGATATTTTTCATGCATTTCTAAACATATACTAAAACTCTGCTTTAAACTAATGCCTATTGATTATAAACCTATGCTATATTTCACAAGTAAAGTACAAGTCTATAAATCCCAGGGCCCTTATATTTGTAAATATAAATTACTTTTAAAAGACACAGTGGAGATTGCAGTATAAAATTTTAATCAGAAAATATTAGCAACGTTTATACTTAATTTACTTTGTTGATTGACAAATACTTTTTAAAGCGATTTTGTGAAAATTTTTAACGCAATAACCATTAACTAGTAGAATTAGCAATTTATTAGGAATACCATTCACTGCCACTTCAATTAGTTAAAATGTAAAATTAGAATGAATTATTGTACAGAATTTTGGTACAAAAAAATTACAAACATATTAGCAAAAAAATTATAAATTGTTAAAAATATATGATTAATTTGAAATTAGTTGAATGTTATTTTCAATTTACTCACATTATTAGATCTTTGATGACATCTGTATATCATATGATTACATGGATTCCAGTGGATTATATAAATTATAGATGATTCCTAAAGAATAAAAAATTTATTATTTTTAATAAAAAATTTATGAAAATATATAATTAAAATATAAAAAAATTTTTATATTTTAACGATTTTTCAAAATATTCTACCTTAAAATAATAACGATTTACGTTAAATATACGAATGAACGAACAGGAAGAGAATATATATAAAGTTGAGAAAATGCAAAGATATGTGTGTAGTATATTCAAATAACAGAAAACATGGCCGTGCTAACATGCAACATTTCAACATGAATATTCAATATTTCTTGACATAAATTCTGGTCGTTCGAAAATGAATATACATATGCAATAGACCATGTATTCGCAAAGAACATTAAAAATTTGTATTCAAATAGCAGTTATATTCGGTAGAATATATATTTTCGTGATTTTGTCTGTTCTACATATCGAATGGAACAGGCACTTGTATAGTACGCGGGAGAAAAATCGCATGCGCGCCAACCGACCATAATTTTCGCAATATCTTTGTAAGAACCGCAAATATTACGTGAACTAGCTACAGTAAAGTCAATATTCTTACATTATTACATAACTCACCTGTAAATCGACGTGTATTCACAAATAAACCGGCAAATAATCACACTAAGTTGCACTGACGTTTCGCGCCACACCACTTGTCTAAACACACCGGAAAAGACGGAACATGAAACGGAAATGAAAAATGAAACATTCGAAATGGACACTATACAACACTAATCATGTATAAATAAAAAAACATTTCAATTTGCAATTAAAATAATTTTCTTGATTAAAATGATTATGTAAAATAATATTTTTTATTATAATGTAAATTGTTCAAGTTTCTAAAAATATAGTCATCGTTATCGATAAATATAGTTAAATTAAAATGTAAATTGATAATATCCGGTTCAGATTTTGAAACTGTCGCGTCATGTCTAAATAATTCAAATATCTTTTTCATTTTAAATAATACATGTTCATAATTCATATTATTATAAAAAATGTGAATAAAATATAGTTTCATAAAACAATTATATTTTTTGTCAAATATTCCAAAATGTTGAAATAGTGATCAAATTTATCATCGTATCATTATAAAAAATGAAGGGAAATAAATGAGTATTCTAATTAATTATTTAAAGAGAAAGTATCAAATAATGTCATGAATAAAATTTCTTATTTTGCGTTGTTAATTGAGATACGTGATTTGAATTGTCACATAGCTTTGTGTTAAAACGAAATTTAAATTTTAACCATGGCTAAGTAGAATCAGTACGATTTTACTTATCGAACATACATCCGTGTCATCGGTGCCTTTGATAGTCTAATACATACTCAGTAGTTCGCATTTTTCCGTGGATTTTCACATTTCACGTTTACTTTCGAACGCGCTACTGTAATACAGATTAGATTTCGAAGTCATTTGTTCACATGGCAATTTAACGTGTGGTTTAACAAGTTCCTTGAGAATCGGTCTATGCATCGTAGCATATCAAATACTCATTATGCAGACCACGAAGTATCGTTTGGCATACTTTAATTCTATCGAGAGCCAAAGCCTTTAATTGCAAGCCAATATCGGTCGACTTCTTATTGACTACTTATTAACATCAGAAAAAGCAGTATTATTTATTTTGAATAGCATAAAAAATTACATTTTCTGTAAACTTACATACCCTGTACATATTGCTCAAAATTACTCTTTTTTTTTTATAAACACTTACACTTTTACATTTTCGTTTTTTTTTTTTTTTAATAATTTCT